AGCAGGGAAAATTTTTTTCTAAGCAACTGTCAGTGGTTTCCTGTGGAGAATAGGACTGTGGAACTGAAGAGAGGGATTCTTCCTTCCTGATTTATGAAAGTTTTATAAATTGTGTTAATATGGGTTATTTTTATGACTTTCAAGAGTTGTGTGCTTTTTAAAAGTCCCTGTGTGTTCTAAAATGGCAGCCTGTGGGAAGGGTGGTGGTTGAGCAGAAGTGGGAGTGAGAATCTTTGACTCCTTTCAACCAAACAGCCTTGGTTTTGTTTGTGTGTTTATTAGGTCATGCCATGAAATCTAACTCAGAGGATCCTGGGGCTAAAACAGTTTTTTTTAACTTCTGCCTTGATGGTTTGTTCCTGGAGTAATACCCTCACTAAGCCAGAGATCTGGCCACAGAGCAGCAGTTTGGGGCCAGCATGTCTGTTTGCACAAAGCAAATCACCCCCACAGGGCGCTGCTCCCTCTGCTCCGAAGGGGGCTGGACCTGGCATGGAAATAAGAAGGGAATTCCCATACCCAGGCAAGCTGGGACTCACCTTCCCAGCACTGGAACTGCACTCACAGGTAGCTGCCCCCGGTGGGGCACAGGTCTCCAAAGTAGGTCCCATCTGCTGTCACCTGGCATGCCTGCAGCCCCTGGCACTGGGCTGGGAAGCATCTGCACCCCAGCGGGAGCAGGAACAGTGAGGACAGAAAGGGACAGGTTTAGACAGAGATGAATGACCTCTCATTCATTCACTCACCCACCACCTGCCCAACAAATAGCTGTTGGCTTCTGCTGAGGACCAGGCACTGTGCCAGGTGCCAATGGAGAAAAGCAGGGCTCCTGCCCACCCCCAGGTTGCTCAGGGTCCAGCAGAGGAGTTCTCAAACTTTAGAATACAGAAGATCCCCCTTCTCCACAGGGGATACATCATTGCAAGGCCCCCAGTGATGCCCAAAATGTAGATAGTACTGAACCCATATACACCATATTATTTCCTAAACATACATACCTGTGACAGAGTTTAATTTACAAGTTAAAGAGGTTACATATATTTGTGTGTGTGTGTATAAAGGAGTGAACAATAACTAGTAATAAAAAAGAACAGTTGTAATAATATACCATAATAAAAGTGATGTGAATGTGGTCTATCTCTCTCTCTCAAAATATCTTATTGTCCTGCAGTCATGCTTCTTCTTGTGATGTGAGATGATAAAATGCCTCCATGATGGGAAGTTAGGGGAATGGCATGGGCATCGTGACACAGTGTTAGGCTATTAGTGACCTTCTGATGATACGTCAGAAGGAGGATCATCTATTGCCAGACCTCGGTTGACCACAGGTGACTGAAACCTTAGAAATCAAATTGTGTTTAAGGGGAGACTGCTGCACCCCAAAATCCCCTGGGGGTTTGTGAAGACAGGTTTCCAGACCCCTCCCCAGCAATTCTGATTGAGTAGGTGAAGGGCAGCTTAAGAATTTACTTTTCTAATAAGCTCCCAGGTGGCACTGCTGTTGGCCCAGGGACCCCACTGGGCCAGTGGCCGCTTGTCAGATGGCCTAAAATAGAAACTTTCATCCTGAGAACTGGCAAAGAGGGGACAAGATTAAGAATCCTGTACCTACGGGGGCACCAGTGACCCTGGGAGGGAGGGGCATGGGGAGCCCAGGCCCCATCACCTTGCTGGCTGGCTGCTGGGACCACCCCTAGCTCCTAGAGGCCACTCTCTGGTCTTTGCCCAGGGCCCTGTGCATCTCAGAACCTGCAGTGGTGTATCAGATCTGTCTCACATTTGAATCTGACTGCTTCATCTGCCACATCTTTCTCCTGCTTCTAGCCAGAGAAAGTTCTCTGCTTTTAAAGGATCATGTGGTTAAATTGTGCCCTCTTGGATAACCAGAATAATCTCCCTGTTTTAACATGAGCAGCCACAATCACATGTGCAAAGTCCCTTTTGCCATGTGAATTAACATTTGCACAGGCATGCTATCTCATCATACCCAGAGTTCCAGGGATGGGTGGGAGGTCTTGGGGTCCCAATTCTGCCTACCCCAGACAGGGCACATGAGGGCAAGGCACTTCTCATCCTCTCTTCCCATCCCCTGTCTCACTACAGCTCCCTCTGCACAAGCCCTGCTCTGTGGTCTTCACTTCCACAGGCCAGCCCCACTACCATTCTCACGCCTGCTGGGTGGCCCTAACTTCTGGTTTCGGTAAGACCTTTCCCTCCGGTTGTCCCTCTAGCCCTTAGGTGTGATAGCAGCTTTCTGTTGTTGCTAATCTCAGGGTTGCATCATTACCCCCTGTTTGGCTTCTCAGCACTTACATGACTTGGATAACAAATTCCCTGCATGAAATCCCCTCTATTGAAAGATCTGACATGATTTCCTGATGGGACCTCGTCCTCAGCACCCTTCAATCTGAGTTCTGTACTCCTGCTATGTGCATCCACAGCCCTAGACTACAGTCTCCAAGAGAGAGGGCTTGTTTTGTTTTTGTTCACTGCTGTATCTCCAGCACACAGAACAATGCCTGGCACATAGCAGGTACAAAGGAAGTTTTGCTCGAGTAAATAAATAAATAGCATTGTGGCTCCCCTATGTTGTGGCACTGAGCACACTTGAGGTAATTGCCTGTATTCATATCCGTCTCCCCATTAGGCTGTGAGCTCTTTGAAAAACAGACTGATTCATCCCTGGATCCATGAGCTCAAGGTAGAGCACAGCACAGTGTTGGGGCTCAAGGAATATTATGGGCCAACGGACTGAATGAATAGTGATGGGGGCACTAGATACAACTAGATCCCCCTGGGGCCCCGCCCAGGTCTTCTCCTCCAACCCTTCCCAAAAGAATGTGGTTCCCTCCAATGTGTGATCTGGGGTGTGGCTGCAAGATTTGGAAACTTGGGTCTGGGCCTTTGAGGAAATAGCCCGCTCAGGCCCATCAGTGCCTCTGGCCCTCCATCAGCTCATCTCACCCAGGCCTTTTCTCCCTAGAGGGGCCCCAGCCTCAGCAATGTCAGAGCAACAAGAGTTGGTGAGAACCAACTAGCTGATTTCAGCATTTCCTTCCCCCACACTGTCTCAGGGGGAGCAGAGACAGTATGAGCCGGACCTGGAGGGGAGAGGAGCAAGTCATTTTCCAAGGGAGATGGGGCATGCTTCCCCAAAGTGGGGAGGGAGTCCCTTGGCAGGTTCTGAGAGCACTGGGCATCCCTCCCTGAGTCTTCACAGGGCCCTTGGCAGAGCTCCCCTCGGCACATTGGAAAGACTTGGCCAGTTTCCAGCCTGGGCCAAGACTTCCGCCTCCTCACATAATCAGAGCAGCAGACCACCTGCCTTCATGGGACCCTGCAGCCCAGCAGTGGTCACATGGCAAAGGGGAGAGGGCTCCCCTGTGTCCTGGACAGCAGAGGTTTCTGAGGCCTTTGCACCCCCCAGTTGGGTGCAGGGAGCCCCCATAATCCCTGAAATGGCACCCTTGTCACCAGGCAAATGCAACTCAGAGGCAGATTTAATCTGACTAGGAAAATGAGGCTGTAGAGAAACTCTCCCACATGGACAAGAGATGTCACCAGGAATATTTGCTTCAGCATTATTCACAATAGCAAGGATTGAGACACAGCCCAAACATCTCTCAACAGAGGAAGAGACAAATTATGGTATAGTTACATGAAGGATGAAACAAACAAACTAGTTACAACGTGTACCAGCCTGGGCAATAAGCAACGTAATGCTTTACTCATTTCTTTAATGACGGAATCTTAAGCAAATGTGGCAAAATGTTGAGATTTGACAAGGTTGGGTAGTGGGTCTATGGGAGTTCACTGAAATATTTTTTGCTGCTTCATGTTTGAAATATTTACAAATTTTTAAAAATTGAAAAAGTGATGATTCTTGTACCCAAGTGGGTGGGGAGAAAAATGGCCCCCTGACCCACCCAGATGGGTTTGATGTCAGGAGAAGGGGTGAGCCACAGCCCCATACTGCCCTGCTCAGTGCTTTGGGCAGAGACTGGCCAGTTTTCCCAGGATATGAAGATTGTTTGAGCCTTCCAGAACGCTTTGCTGGGCACAAGATGCTGGGAACTGCCCTGTGCCTGCTGCCAGCGCTGCAGAGCCCTCGGGCCCTGCCTGCCACTCTGTTCTTGATGCTGACCCAGCTGCATTCCTTTTCCAGGTCCGAGGGGCGTCCAGCATCCTGGGTGCAGTAATGGGGGGTCTGGTGCCCGTGGAAGGCATCCTGGATCTGGGTGACTTCCCCCGAGCCACAGTGCACGATGGCATTGGGGCCATCACAGACCAGAGTCTGACCAACACCTGTGACAAAGGTAAGGTGGCACCTTAGGAGGGATCTTGGTCCTGCTTGATGGGAAGTGGAGGGGTTGCAGGGTCAGGACTGTAAGACGAAAGGACACAGCCGGAGCTTGCCCCACAGAGGTGTGAGGTAGAATGTGGTGGTCGTGAGCATGGCTCAGGGCCAGACTGCCCGGCGGCAGGTACTGCCCAGCACGCATTGGCTGTGCGACCTTCTGCAAATTACTTAGCTTCTCTGTGCCTCCTCTGTATAAAAGGGTGTCAGTACCATACCCCAGAGGGTCATTAGGAGATTTAAATGAGTCTGTATGTGTAAAGTAAGGGCTAAACAGGTGGCAACTATTATTCCACTTATTTTGAGTACCTTTCTTGAGCCATATCTGAAAACTGACTGGCACATAATAGTGCTAAACAAATATTTGTGGAATGGATGAGTGATTTTATTGAGTCTTCATACCAATGCTATGAGCTGGGCTATTATCCTCCCCATTATGAACATCAAGCTCAGTGGGGTCACTGTGCTGAGATCCACTCGAGCTGGCTCCTGGCACGCGTTACATGCTCAGGACACATTTGTTGAAAAAGAATGACCTGGCTCAGGTGTGCAGAGCCAGAAAGTGGGAAACTGGATTCAAGCTCAAGCCTGTCTGCCTAGTGGGAATGCCATGGGGTAGGGGCTGAGACCAAAATCTGTGCTGGTTTCCTGTGGCTGCTGTAACAATTTACCACCAATTTAGTGGCTTAAAACAGCACAAATTTATCATCTTCCAGTTATGAAGGTCAGAAGTTGGTCGAAGGTCAAAGGAGGCCATAAGTCCAAAATGGGCCTCCCGGGGCTAATGTCAAGGTGTGGCCCCAGCAGGCTCTTTCTGGGGGCTCCAAGGGAGCATCTGTTCCCATGCCTTCCCAGCTCCCAGAGGCGCCCTTGTTTGCTGACCCGCGGCCCCTCCTCTACCTGCAGAGGCAGCAGCGCAGCAGCTTCCTGTCTCCCCCTCTCGGACCATAGACAAACCTGGGTTCCAGGCGCGTCTCTGTCACTTCCCAGCTCCGTGGCCTTCGGCAAGGAACTTACCCTTTCTGGCCTCACTTTTCTTAGCTTTTTAATGGGCCTGCAATAGAACAGTGGCGGTACTTCTACTGTGATGAATAGACGCCCCCAGAGGGCACAGCTCAGTGCCGGAAATCCTGCTTGGTGCACATTAGCTGCTCAGAGTGTGACCTCATGCTGGGGGCACAAGGCCCTGGGGGCTGACAGATTCTGAGATAGGCTTGAAGTTGGGGTGGGGAAGGGGTGGGTCTTTGGGGACTGTGAGAAGAGAGGGTCCCCAAAACTTCCAAGTTTACAGAATTAGCCAAGCACGAGGAGTTAAGCCTACACGGTACCTATTTAAAGCCAGGCAGGGGGAAACGGAGGAGGGGCCCCTGTGAATGTCCAAACCCAGAAAGGGTTCTGGGAGCCAGGAATCTGTAATGATTAGAGCCGGGGAGGGAGCTGTGCCCAGGGAGCCCAGAAGCTTCTGTCAAGCCTGGCTTGAGGGTCGGGAACTATGGGGTGGCTCAACTCCAAGACCAGGCAGGCCCTGGTGTCAGAGCCCCCATGGCAGGCAGGACCCAGCGTGGGACCACAGGTCTCTCCTCCTGGTGCGCTAACACAGTCCCCAGGGATAGGTCCCCAGGACTTGCCAGGAGCGTCAGCCATGGCAGCAGCTGGGAAGGACACAAAGCGGAGCATGGGGGAGTCCCAGAGTCAGGGAGGGTGGGATGTGGTGGGTGGTGGGTGGGGTCCCAGACCCAAGCACGCCAAGGCAGCAGGAGTCGAGGGTGAATGAGAAGAACCTCCTGGACCATGTCTCCCTTCATGGGAAGGCTGGAAAGGGGGAGTTAATAGGGCTGAGCATGCAAAGTCCCTTTTGCCATGTGAATTAACATTTGCACAGGCATGCTATCTCATCATACCCAGAGTTCCAGGGATGGGTGGGAGGTCTTGGGGTCCCAATTCTGCCTACCCCAGACAGGGCACATGAGGGCAGGGCACTTCTCATCCTCTCTTCCCATCCCCTGTCTCACTACAGCTCCTTCTGCACAAGCCCTGCTCTGTGGTCTTCACTTCCACAGGCCAGCCCCACTACCATTCTCACGCCTGCTGGGTGGCCCTAACTTCTGGTTTCGGTAAGACCTTTCCCTCCGGTTGTCCCTCTAGCCCTTAGGTGTGATAGCAGCTTTCTGTTGTTGCTAATCTCAGGGTTGCATCATTACCCCCTGTTTGGCTTCTCAGCACTTACATGACTTGGATAACAAATTCCCTGCATGAAATCCCCTCTATTGAAAGATCTGACATGATTTCCTGATGGGACCTCGTCCTCAGCACCCTTCAATCTGAGTTCTGTACTCCTGCTATGTGCATCCACAGCCCTAGACTACAGTCTCCAAGAGAGAGGGCTTGTTTTGTTTTTGTTCACTGCTGTATCTCCAGCACACAGAACAATGCCTGGCACATAGCAGGTACAAAGGAAGTTTTGCTCGAGTAAATAAATAAATAGCATTGTGGCTCCCCTATGTTGTGGCACTGAGCACACTTGAGGTAATTGCCTGTATTCATATCCGTCTCCCCATTAGTCTGTGAGCTCTTTGAAAAACAGACTGATTCATCCCTGGATCCATGAGCTCAAGGTAGAGCACAGCACAGTGTTGGGGCTCAAGGAATATTATGGGCCAACGGACTGAATGAATAGTGATGGGGGCACTAGATACAACTAGATCCCCCTGGGGCCCCGCCCAGGTCTTCTCCAACCCTTCCCAAAAGAATGTGGTTCCCTCCAATGTGTGATCTGGGGTGTGGCTGCAAGATTTGGAAACTTGGGTCTGGGCCTTTGAGGAAATAGCCCGCTCAGGCCCATCAGTGCCTCTGGCCCTCCATCAGCTCATCTCACCCAGGCCTTTTCTCCCTAGAGGGGCCCCAGCCTCAGCAATGTCAGAGCAACAAGAGTTGGTGAGAACCAACTAGCTGATTTCAGCATTTCCTTCCCCCACACTGTCTCAGGGGGAGCAGAGACAGTATGAGCCGGACCTGGAGGGGAGAGGAGCAAGTCATTTTCCAAGGGAGATGGGGCATGCTTCCCCAAAGTGGGGAGGGAGTCCCTTGGCAGGTTCTGAGAGCACTGGGCATCCCTCCCTGAGTCTTCACAGGGCCCTTGGCAGAGCTCCCCTGGGCACATTGGAAAGACTTGGCCAGTTTCCAGCCTGGGCCAAGAATTCCGCCTCCTCACATAATCAGAGCAGCAGACCACCTGCCTTCATGGGACCCTGCAGCCCAGCAGTGGTCACATGGCAAAGGGGAGAGGGCTCCCCTGTGTCCTGGACAGCAGAGGTTTCTGAGGCCTTTGCACCCCCCAGTTGGGTGCAGGGAGCCCCCATAATCCCTGAAATGGCACCCTTGTCACCAGGCAAATGCAACTCAGAGGCAGATTTAATCTGATTAGGAAAATGAGGCTGTAGAGAAACTCTCCCACATGGACAAGAGATGTCACCAGGAATATTTGCTTCAGCATTATTCACAATAGCAAGGATTGAGACACAGCCCAAACATCTCTCAACAGAGGAAGAGACAAATTATGGTATAGTTACATGAAGGATGAAACAAACAAACTAGTTACAACGTGTACCAGCCTGGGCAATAAGCAACGTAATGCTTTACTCATTTCTTTAATGACGGAATCTTAAGCAAATGTGGCAAAATGTTGAGATTTGACAAGGTTGGGTAGTGGGTCTATGGGAGTTCACTGAAATATTTTTTGCTGCTTCATGTTTGAAATATTTACAAATTTTTAAAAATTGAAAAAGTGATGATTCTTGTACCCAAGTGGGTGGGGAGAAAAATGGCCCCCTGACCCACCCAGATGGGTTTGATGTCAGGAGAAGGGGTGAGCCACAGCCCCATACTGCCCTGCTCAGTGCTTTGGGCAGAGACTGGCCAGTTTTCCCAGGATATGAAGATTGTTTGAGCCTTCCAGAACGCTTTGCTGGGCACAAGATGCTGGGAACTGCCCTGTGCCTGCTGCCAGCGCTGCAGAGCCCTCGGGCCCTGCCTGCCACTCTGTCCTTGATGCTGACCCAGCTGCATTCCTTTTCCAGGTCCGAGGGGCGTCCAGCATCCTGGGTGCAGTAATGGGGGGTCTGGTGCCCGTAGAAGGCGTCCTGGATCTGGGTGACTTCCCCCGAGCCACAGTGCACGATGGCATTGGGGCCATCACAGACCAGAGTCTGGCCAACACCTGTGACAAAGGTAAGGTGGCACCTTAGGAGGGATCTTGGTCCTGCTTGATGGGAAGTGGAGGGGTTGCAGGGTCAGGACTGTAAGACGAAAGGACACAGCCAGAGCTTGCCCCACAGAGGTGTGAGATAGAATGTGGTGGTCGTGAGCATGGCTCAGGGCCAGACTGCCCGGCGGCAGGTACTGCCCAGCACGCATTGGCTGTGCGACCTTCTGCAAATTACTTAGCTTCTCTGTGCCTCCTCTGTATAAAAGGGTGTCAGTACCATACCCCAGAGGGTCATTAGGAGATTTAAATGAGTCTGTATGTGTAAAGTAAGGGCTAAACAGGTGGCAACTATTATTCCACTTATTTTGAGTACCTTTCTTGAGCTGTATCTGAAAACTGACTGGCACATAATAGTGCTAAACAAATATTTGTGGAATGGATGAGTGATTTTATCGAGTCTTCATACCAATGCTATGAGCTGGGCTATTATCCTCCCCATTAGGAACATCAAGCTCAGTGGGGTCACTGTGCTGAGATCCACTCGAGCTGGCTCCTGGCACGCGTTCCATGCTCAGGACACATTTGTTGAAAAAGAATGACCTGGCTCAGGTGTGCAGAGCCAGAAAGTGGGAAACTGGATTCAAGCTCAAGCCTGTCTGCCTAGTGGGAATGCCATGGGGTAGGGGCTGAGACCAAAATCTGTGCTGGTTTCCTGTGGCTGCTGTAACAATTTATCACCAATTTAGTGGCTTAAAACAGCACAAATTTATCATCTTCCAGTTATGAAGGTCAGAAGTTAGTCGAAGGTCGAAGAAGGCCATAAGTCCAAAATGGGCCTCCCGGGGCTAATGTCAAGGTGCGGCCCCAGCAGGCTCTTTCTGGGGGCTCCAACGGAGCATCTGTTCCCATGCCTTCCCAGCTCCCAGAGGCGCCCTTGTTTGCTGACCCGCGGCCCCTCCTCTACCTGCAGAGGCAGCAGCGCAGCAGCTCCCTGTCTCCCCCTCTCGGACCATAGACAAACCTGGGTTCCAGGCGCGTCTCTGTCACTTCCCAGCTGCGTGGCCTTCGACAAGGAACTTACCCTTTCTGGCCTCACTTTTCTTAGCTTTTTAATGGGCCTGCAACAGAACAGTGGCGGTACTTCTACTGTGATGAATAGACGCCCCCAGAGGGCACAGCTCAGTGCCGGGAACTCCTGCTTGGTGCGCATTAGCTGCTCAGAGTGTGACCTCATGCTGGGGGCACAAGGCCCTGGGGGCTGACAGATTCTGAGATAGGCGTGAAGTTGGGGTAGGGAAGGGGTTGGTCTTTGGGGACTGTGAGAAGAGAGGGTCCCCAAAACTTCCAAGTTTACAGAATTAGCCAAGCACGGGGAGTTAAGCCTACATGGTACCTATTTAAAGCCAGGCAGGGGGAAACGGAGGAGGGGCCCCTGTGAATGTCCAAACCCAGAAAGGGTTCTGGGAGCCAGGAATCTCTAATGATTAGAGCCGGGGAGGGAGCTGGGCCCAGGGAGCCCAGAAGCTTCTGTCAAGCCTGGCTTGAGGGTCCGGAACTATGGGGTGGCTCAACTCCAAGACCAGGCCCTAGTGTCAGAGCCCCCATGGCAGGCAGGACCCAGCGTGGGACCACAGGTCTCTCCTGCTGGCGCGCTAACACAGTCCCCAGGGATAGGTCCCCAGGACTTGCCAGGAGCATCAGCCATGGCAGCAGCTGGGAAGGACACAAAGCGGAGCATGGGGGAGTCCCAGAGTCAGGGAGGGTGGGATGTGGTGGGTGGTGGGTGGGGTCCCAGACCCAAGCATGCCAAGGCAGCAGGAGTCGAGGGTGAATGAGAAGAACCTCCTGGACCATGTCTCCCTTCATGGGAAGGCTGGAAAGGGGGAGTTCATAGGGCTGAGCTTGTCCCGCTAGCTGCAGGTGTATGGGAGGGAAAGTCAGAGGAGAGTGAGGCTGACAGGCAGGTGGGTATGTGAGTGGGCACGGAGAGGAGGGCCTGTGAGCTGCGAGATGAGGGAGAGACAGAGAGAGACAGGTGGGCATTCAGGTAGACACAGACCAACAGAGAAGAGAGACACACAGTAAGAGACAGAGACAAAGAGAAGCAGAAGACCAAGAGAAGGAGGGAGACCCCACCACAGAGGCCAGCTCACCAAACTGGCAGATGAAGGCGAACAGCTGCGGGCAGTTGTCCGAGGCCATCCACCCAGAGGAAGGGTCTCACCCGATGTAGCCGCAGGTGTTAGGATCGGAGCGGGAGCTGCCTGCTCTCCACGCCAGTGGCTATAGCTCACATCTGAGGTGTCCAGCCAGACCCCAAGCCCTGGGAGGGGAACATAACCTAGCGCTTGGCAGTGTTCATCTCATCCCTTTCTACATACAGGGCTTGCCTCAGCTCAGCCCCTTGTGCACAGGTGGTGCTCAGTGAATGTTGACAGGCTCAAGGCCTCTCTTTCCCCTGCCAGCGAAGGGGCATTGCCTACCCTTCCCACATTCAAACAAAAGAACTCAACCTAAGAACTGGGGTGCTATGTCCCATAGCCTGGCTTGGTTCAGTAAGTGATGCTGCCAACTCTGTCTAACCATAGTCTAAAAAGAGCGCAGAGGTGTGCTGAGGATGTTAAAAGGTGTTCCAGAGAGAAGCAGGCGCCCTTGCCAAGGATTTTTGGGCAGGTTGAGTCAACATGAGAGCAGTTTTCCTTACTTAAGGCTTCAGAGCCTTGGAGACACTGATGTGACTCTTGAAGTATGTGTGTGCATGTGTGTGCGTTTGTGTAAATACAGACGCCTTTCAAGGACACTGGAGAGCTAGAAAATACTAAACATAAAATATTTACTATGAAAACTCAAAAATGTATGTAGTTACTTTTTAAAAGAAAAAATCCATATAAATGGCCTTTTTAAAAAATTCAAGGACTGCAAAAGGGTATAAAATGAAAATATCTTCCCTCTCGCAACCTCTGGGCTACTCCCATTATTGTTATGTTTCTCTTGAATTGTTCCAGGCTGACTTTTATCTATATATCAGCATCTATGAGTGCCTGAAATTTGTTTGCACAAACGCCATCATATGGCACACAGCTCTCTGTCCCCTGTTTCTTAAATAACATTAAATATTGGAGCTTGTCACATGCAGCCTACTCAGATCTACCTTATTTTCTGTAACAGGCATGCAGTATCCCTTGGAAATTTTAAATAGACACAACTCCTTTAAATACATATGAATGGACATTCAATATAGAGAAATTTGAACTTGCTACATTTACAAATCAAGAAACCATTCAACAGCTATTCTCTGAAGAAGCATTTTACAATTCAGATCTCCTAGCTGTGCTTTTCCTAAAATGAGCCTCCCCAACAGCTCCTTCATTAAAGCATTTCCATCCACTTTGGTATATTTCTATAGGTGCTTAGCCCAGACCAACATACTCATTTCTAAAACCTGATGTGGTAGGACCCTGGCTCTAGAGAGACCTCACTGCCCTTTGCTAGCCAAATCATCGTGGACAAGTCATTTCTTCTCTCTGGACTTCATTATCCTCATCCATAAAATAAGATGGCCAGGATGTGGTTCCTTCCTTTGAAGAGCTCATAGTCTAGGAAGGCAGACAGATACCTAAAAACTCATGTCATGCTGTCACAGAGGTGTGGACAAGGTCTGACAGGTGCACAGAGAGGGACTTACCTGGTTGTGCTGGGGCTGGAGGAAGGAATCCTCACAGAGTAAAGGATAAAGAAGAGTTTCCAGGTGGAAAATGAAGCCATCATTGGATGAAACTGTCACTGAAATGAGATTATCTAGTGAGAATTCAGCTGTGCTAAGCACTTAACCTGCTTTAATCCCATAGAAATGGGGAAAGACTTGTGGAAGTGCTCTGAATGTAACTTAGTTATTAATTCCTGAGACTTGTTTTTCTCATCTGCAAAATCAGGACAACAATAATTGTCTCATTAGTGATCATAAAAATTCACCATGATAATGGATGTGAAACACTCAGGTTAGTGCCTGGCACTATTCCAGCAGGAGCTGAAAAACCATAGCTAGTTTCTTCCTTAGACATTTCTAGAGCATCAGCTGTGTGCCAGATTCTGTGCTAGGTAGTTACATGAATTGTTTCGTTTGATCCACAAAACAACCAAAGAGGAGGGTACCCCTCCATGAGAATCGGTACATATTAATTTATTCCACGGAGTTCTGGGTAAGAAGCAATGATGAGAATCACAGCCACAAGCTTCCTGTAAAATACAATCATCACAGCTCCTACCTTCTGTGGTTCCATTCTGAGCCCAGTTCCCTGTGAGTCCAATCCACCATTCCCTGTCCTGGGAGATGTACTTCTACAGAAACAGCTGGGTGTCTTCATCACAAATGAAGGCCAGATGGCCTCCTTGTCCCTTGCACCAGCCCTGGGCACCGTAGAAGGTGCAGCCGAGAGGCACAAATTCATAACAGGAGTTCTCTGAAAGGCACTTGGCTCTTAGAGCAAAAGCTGCCCTCACCTGGCTTAGCAGAGGTGGCCCTAAACCCCAGAGCAAGTCCCAAGAGTACCAAGCGTGCTGCACTCATGCTGGAGCGTCAGGATGGAGCTGGCTCCCAGGTCCTTCATATGCTGATGCCGCGTGGCCATCTACCCTCCCGTCAGCCCTTTTCCCTTTGCACTAAACAAGAGTGACTACGCTTGTTTAAGAAACAAAAGACTCAGGATGAATGTGTCTGCATTTTTGCTTTCCTCAGCTCTTTGTTTAATGCCCAGTCCAAATCTAATTCATTTGCACAATGGTCCTCGAGAGAACGATAAAGCTGCTGTATCACTGTCTGCTTGTCATTTGGTCCACTGTTAGTTTCTGATAAGAACTCCTTGCTATTGGTTTTATGTCATTATTCTCAAGGGCCAAATGTTTCATGAGAAGCCATCAGTGTGTGGGAAGTGTGTGACAAAAGAAAAATGGCAGGAAAGTTAAAGTTATGGGGTGGTAAAGAAACCATGCTTGCATTCATATCCAATCCTATTGTCTGGAGGGGCAGCTGTTTCCAAATGATAATCACATTCCCCCCAGCATGGCTTAAACCCTAATGGATATTTTTTCCCCTTTCTGATTCATCACATTACTACTCAAACCTGTTAGAGAATCCAATTTTCCTACAAAATGTATTTGATGTCATCATAAAAATAAGCTTCTAAAACATCAAACCTGCCCATCCTCACCCACTGCCTAAACCCTCCAAAGGGTGTCCATGGTCTACAGATCAAGTTCAGACTCTTAGCTTTGTATGCAAGGCTCTGTATGAACTGGCCATGACATTATTTCCAAACATTCTCCCAAAATGTGGAGACACACACACTCACCCATTGCTGATGGGAGTATAAATTGGCACAGCCACCATTGTTGGCGGTTTGACCACATTTATCAAAATTTTTAAAGCACAAGCTCTATAATGTAGCAAGTCAACTTCAGGAATTTTACCTACAGATAAATTCATATGAGAAATGTCATATGGATAAGGTTTTTCATGGCAGAATTTTGCAAAAAGGAAAGACTGGAAACAACCCAAATGTCCATTGATAGGAGAGCAATCAACAAAATGTGTTACATCTTCCATACCCACCAAAAAGTGAGCAAATTCTTTATACACAAATTTGGAAGGAGCTCTAAGATTTTTGCTAATATTGAAAACCAAGTATGAGACATTGTTTATGGCCCAATTCATTCACATGAAAACGTAAGTGAATATGTATTTGTATGTACGTGATGTTTGTGTGTGTAAGGGACATACAAGAGCCTGCTGGGAGTGGTTCTCTGGGGGAGGGAGGAACGAGGGGAGTGTGAGACAGGACAGAGCAAGACTTCTGTTTCATTTGGGCACATTTTTTAAGCCTTTCTGTTTCGTACCATGTGAATGTATTACTTGTTTAAAAAGACTAAACTCTTTAAAAGAAAAAAATCTCACAGGCCTGTCATCCCCCCACAGGCTCAAAGTCACAGCTCTTCCCACATTGTAGCTTGTCACTGGCCACCTTCCCCCCCCACCTTGGGGCTGGCGTCACTCCTTCTGCCAGGAATCGCTTTCCCCCTCGTCCTTCCCCGACCACCTTCAAGACTCAGCTCAAACGTCACTTCCGTTGTGAACTTCGTAGAGCTTGTATCATATGCCTCTCTACTCTGAGGTTCTCTTTTTATTAAGGTATAAGCCACATGCCGTGCAATCCACCCATTTAAAATGGACAAGTCAATGGTTTTTAGTATAGTTCCAAGGTTGCACAACCATCGCCATGATCCATCCTAGAGCGTTTTCATCGCCCCAAAGGGAGCCCCGCAGCCATCAGTGTTCACTCCCGGTTCCTCCCTCCCTCCCCCCAGCTCCTGACGATCACTAAGCTACTTTCAGTCTCTATGGATTTGCTCATTCTGGAAATTTCACACAAATGGGGTCATACAAGGTGTGGCCTTTTGTGACTGGCTTTTTGCGCATCGGCAGTGTCTCCAAGGCTCACCGTCTTGGAGCACGTGTTGGCATTCGCTCCTTCCCTCCTGTCCTTTTTCCCTATTGGCTTTCCATAAAAGTTTGTAGAATAACTGTCAAATGAAGGGTTTTTCCAGAACAAATATATCCCCACCATAGCTCTTTGTCTGTCTTCCTAATGTTTGTTGTTCATAATAACTTTTTTAATTAATTAGATTTGGCAAAATTACTGTGTTATCTAAGTGGTGGGAAGAACGGTTTCAACTACAAAACTACTCTATTACTTAAGTGGTGGGAAAAACCGTTTAATACCAGAATTTCTCCTGGGAACATTTTTAGGAAAATATCTCTATGGGCCATTTGGGTGGGATAGGGGAGACACCAAAGGCATGGTTTGTACTATCAGAGTAAAACACAGCACTCGATGAGATGAGCTGCATAAGAAGTGAATAACTTGAGATTGGAAAAGGGAGCCATGCAGTGTGGTAAGACCCTGGAACCCTCAAGAAGGATATTAGGCAAACAGTTTCTCATGCCAGTGTGGCCAAAGACCACAGTACCTACCACCTGGTTGTAAGCTGTCACCTGCTCCGACATAATTCATTCACCATTTTTTTTTTTTTTTGGATTCCCATTCCTCTCTCTTCCAGCCTCTGGCAACCCCTGCTTTCTGTCTTTTTGGATTTATGGTTTCTGGACATTTCATATAAATGGTATCATACAATCACATGACCTTGTATGTCTAGCTTTTTTCCTCAGCATATGTTTTCAAGGTTCATCCATGTTGAGCCTGAATGAGTACTTCATTCCTCTTCATGGCTGAGTGACACCCATTGTACAGGTGGACCACAGTTGGCTTATCCATTCATCCATTGATGGACATTTGGGTTGTTTTATTCTGTGAGTTTCTTGCAGGGAAGGAATAATGTCTCTTAATCTCTGTCTGCCCCATGGCTAGCACAGAGTAGGATTCAATGAACATTGCCAGCCTGGCCCCATCTCCCAGCTCCCTGGGTGTTAGTAGGGGAGGTCATTGGGAGGGATGCGACTGCTGGCTGACCTGTGAGCTGAACCCTGGCAATCAGAGGCTCCTCACCCCTTCCCATGCCCTTGGAGTGTTCCACTTGCCTTCCCTGATCCCAGAAGCTGCCTCAAGAATGTAGTCTTGAGATAATGATGTGGGATTCAGACCATCTGAACAGTATAGGTGACTGGGCTCTGTTCACGCCTCTATACAAACTACTGAGATTTGGTGGGTGGGTGTGAAGATCTACTTGTCTTGTGGCTGCCCCAAACCAGCCTTCTATGTAAGTTCCCTTGCTTACTAAACCTGCCATCTACCAATCTGGAGTAGCCTGCCTCTTTGTTCTCTCTCTACCCTTGTGCACAGGGCCTGGTTTGCAAACCAACACTGGGACTGACCCTCGGCCCTTGGCCCTTTCCCAGAAGCCCTTGCAAGCCCTCAAGAGCAGCCCTACCAGACAGAGCTCTGGGCAGGATTTGATATCCTGGCTGACTCACAAGCTGGAACACAGGCGGGGCAGAACTGGGCTCTTATCTCTAGGGGCCAAGCTTTTCATGACCTCCATTAGAAAACTATGCATAAGACCTCACAAAGAGATAATGTATCTCCTGGGTAAAGGCTTAATTTACATCCCTCATGGAACATGCTTGGAGACATTTGATAACAAACAAATCTGCAGACTAAATTCCATTTTCACATTCTTTACATTGTAAGACATTGCAGGCTACTGGGCACGGACCCCATCCCGGTGACGTCAGCTCCCAGTGCGCCTTAACCTCTGGGTGCAGGAAGGAAGGAAGCAGGACATGGCTGGACCACTGTGAGGATGTTTCCAGTGATCTGACCCAGCTCTCTGTGCCTCCAGGTCCTGATTTTGGGGATCAGAAAATGAAAACAAAACAGAGGGAGTTTGATTTAAATCAGGCACTGAGTCCATAGCAAGGTGCTCGTGCCCTGTGGCCCAGACATCCTAGTTCTGGAAATAGACCCATTTCAGTTTGGGTTCCCCAGAAGCTAATTGAGACAAGAATTCAAGCGCAAGGAGTTTGGATGCAAGAAACGGTGGCTGGGGAGTGGGGGGTAAAAGCTGTCTAGGAGCTCATGTTATTATTGGTCATAGTAGTAAATCTTTGCCCTCCATTTGCTTGAAAAAACAAAGTAGCAAAAAGAATTCTCATGGTCCATCACCCTAATTGTCATTTCTTTGCAGTTCCTTAGAATGCCTCTTGCCTTGAAAATAAACACTACTCCACACCCAGGCACAACCACAGTGTACGGGTGCTTAATTCACGCTGCCTCCTGCATTTCCCACTTGGCTTGATGGGAAGCCTTTTCTACGTTGCTAAAGCACTTTGAAATTGGCAAGGTGGTGGCTCTACCTACTTCCTCTGAATGGACCTTTACTAAACCATTCCCGTGTTGCTAGATATTTTGTGTGGTTTTAGTTCTGTTTGTCACGTGTTCAGTTTTTCTGTCTAGTCAACACTGCTATGAACATCTTCGCGCACTTACCACGTAGCCTGGGCTGTCTCCTGAGACACTGTCAGTGTCTCACCTTGACCCCTCACATGTACCATGTAAGACTTCTAGATGCAAGCACATGTGGCTCTTTGCCCCCCTCTGCACAGGAAGGACAGGGTGGGAGTGCCTGAAAGCTTGTGTTCTTGGGAGAAGCTTTCACCCATGATTGACTAGAGTTGGTGGGTTAGTCCCCCAACTCCCTGAAGATAACTCTAGGGCATGTTCAACCATCTCTGGGGTGCCCCGGCCACACTGAGCTTCAGTTTCCCACTACAGTAATGTCTTAATAACACACTGTTAATGTCTTCCCTCGGTGTTTTACTTCCTGGCTCCCCTGCTGGCATTTCTGGGTTTCACCTCCCAAATAAAGCACTCGTACCTGTGTCCGGGTCTAGGGGTCTGCTTCTGGTAGAGACCAAGCTTAGACAGCTGTATTCCTAGACCTGAGGTGCCTGGGCCACAGAGCATGAATATCCTTGTGATTCTTGTTATGAACTCAACGCCTACTCAAACCAAATGAATTATCTTTCTGTTGTTCACACTGCTGATCCCCCTTGAAGCCTCCAACTGCTGGATCAAATCCTGGGAAACATTCTCACAGCTGTGC